GATGGGGGCGCCCCTGAGCCCGCACGCTCCCTCCACAGTACCTGGGCTCCATGCTGATCAAAGACCTTCGAGGGACAGAATCCACCCAGGACGCCTGTGCCAAGATGCGGGTGGGTGATCTTTGTGGGGTGAAGCGGGGCTGGCTAGGTACCAGCTGCAGCCACTGGGGCCCCATGTCAGGGGCGGGTGGGGGAAGGCTGTTGGCTGTGGGTCCCCGGGGCTTGGCCCTGAGCAGGCGTTCACAGGCCTGTTTCCTACAGAAATCCACCGAGCACATGAGGAAGGTCCCCACCATCACCCTGTCCATCACCTACAAAGGCGTCAAGTTCATCGACGCCTCCAACAAGGTGCGCTCCCCCTGCCCCGCAGCCCTAGTCCTCTCCATCCCCACCCACACCCCGATCCTGGTCGCGCACTGGTCACCACCCTGCGTGTTCCCAGCGTGGGCTCCCTCGCCCGCTTGCATGCTCACGGGCCTTTGTGGTGGGGGTCCCGTACTGAGCACAGGGCTCCCATGCCGGGCAGCCTACCCGCCAATGCCCTTCCCTCTCGCCCCACCTGGAGGCGGAGGGCTGGAGAGCCCGTCAGCTGCCGTGCTCAAGCGGGGAGACCCCAAACCTAAACCGGGTGAGGTTAGATGCCACCCGCCCCGTCCCCACCTGGGGGTGGGGGGGTGGGGGGCAGAGGAAGGCGGCGATGTCAGGGAGCCCGGATTCCAGGCCCCTCTCCTCAACAGAACGTCATCGCGGAGCACGAGATCCGGAACATTTCCTGCGCGGCCCAGGACCCCGAGGACCTCTGCACCTTCGCCTACATCACCAAGGACCTGCAGACGGGCCACCACTACTGCCACGTCTTCAGCACGGTGGACGTGGTGGGTAGTCTCGGTGCGCGCTGCCCTGGCACCTGGTGGCTCAGCCCCCGCAGCCGTCACCGCCCCCTCTGTGCACAGGGAGACGGCTCAGAGGACAGCGGCTTGTCCGGGGCTCAGCGACAGGCTGTCCTGCTCCTGCGAGAGTTAGTCACGGCCTTGGCTGCCGCTCGGAGTCCCCAGCCCTGTAGCTCCTGAAGTGCCCTCTGCCCCTCGTGGGGGCGGCAGGGCCCTCCTGCCCGTTCTGGCTCAGGGGCTGGGCTGAGGGCACTGCCCCAGCCTGGAGAGCGGGAGGACTCCCTGTGCCCTGAGGCAGTTCCGGAGTCTGAAGCTGGTTCCTGTCCAGCGTCAGGCTCCTGGTCTGGAGAGGGCGTGATGCGCCCGCCTCGTGGGGTTGGCGGGGGACGAGGAGCGCGCCCCATCCTCGTGTCCTTGGCACTCACCTGTCGCTCGCTTTTCTCACGTCAGTCAGCTCTGTGACGTGTGCTCCTGAAGGCCCGGGCCTGTGAAATCGCAGTAAAACCCAGGCCACACGCAGAAACTCATCAGCGTGTGACACGTTCAAAAGGATCAGGAGCTGAACGGAAACCCAGCCTCTCTTTGTTCTAACTAAAGTGCTGACAAGTGCGCGACACCAGTCCCCCCAGGCTCTCCCCGCAGGGCCTGAGGTCGCCCGTGGGAGTGCTGCTGCCGCGGCGCAGCCGTGAGGGGCCAGAGGTGGGCCGTGGCCGCCTGGGCAGTTTCTGTGTCTCCCGGGGACCTGGTCGGCTGGGTGCAGGGTCACGTCCACCTAGTCTCTCCGAGGAAACAAAACGTGTCTGGGCTCAGGTTGCTCCCTGATACGTCAGTTGCTCTGGGACAGAAAGGACTGCTCTGTGCCCTGTCGGGTGCCCTGAGCCTGTGCTGGGGGAGGGGGTGCCCAGGGAGCCCCCGTCAGCTGAGTGTGCTCTTTCCTCCCAGACCCTGACCTACGAGATCATCCTGACGCTGGGGCAGGCGTTCGAGGTGGCCTACCAGCTGGCCCTGCAGGCCCAGAGGGCCCGGCCCGTGGGGGCCTCTGCCGCCGAGCCCGTCGAGACGAGATCTTCCAAGCCGGTGCCGAAGCCTCGCGTGGGTGTGAGGAAGTCAGCGGTACGTGGCCCCCTTGCCCGGCTCGCGGGGTCTCCCACACTCAGGCAGCTGCCCCTCAGGAAAGAACCCGGCCGTTAGGCTCCCGCTGCCCGTCCTCGCCGGCGGCCTCGCAGGTGCACAGGCGGCGCGGCCGCAGCGCCCTGTAACGTCGCCATGTCTGTCTGCTTTGCTTTGCACCCCAGGTGCCGCTGCCCCCCGACACTCGCTGTTGTTACTGTCACACCTGCACCACCCATCGTCCTTCTTACCTGCCGCTGCCGTCTGTTAGTCCTGGAGTCAAGGTCTTGCGTCCCCGTCTGTGTCCGTCCCTGTCTGTGTCCGTCTCTGGGGCCGTGGCCTCCAGCCTGCGCGGCGTCCTCCTTTCCTGCCCCGCCCCCGCCGTCCCGTCTGTGCTTCAGCCCTTGTTCTGTGTCCTCCCTCGGAGGGCCCGTGCGCTGTGGCCTCGCCGGGGTCCTGCCACAGCTGTGGGGCTCAGAGCACGATGCCCTGGCAGCGAGGCGCCCGTAGGCCAACAGCTCTGAGACTCCCTGGGACAGGCTGTCCATGTTGAGGCCCAGCGTGGCCCTCCCACCATGATCCCAGGAGGGAGTCGCTCCTGCCACACACACACACACACACACACACACACAGGCGCATGTGCACACACACGCACAGACATGCACACATACGCACACACGTGTGCACACACACAGGCGCGCACGCACACACACATACAGACACGCACACAGGGAGCCTGCTCTTTGGACTTTGGCCTCTGGTGGGCCCTGCATCCGCCAGGCTCCACACCCTCTGGGGCTTCTAGCGCCAGGTGCCAGCGGGCGCTGCTGGAGAAGCCTCGGGCTGGCGGGCAGCTGGTCACAGTCACCCAGACATTAGAGATGCCCAGGGGGGTGGGGCGGAGGGGGAGGGCAGCAGGGCCCTGTTGCCCCGGGCGGAGGTGTGCGCTCCACCTGACTCTTCCCTTCTTCCTTGGCAGCTGGAACCGCCCGACATGGAGCCAGATGCCCAGTCCCATGCCAGCGTCTCCTGGGTCGTGGACCCCAAACCAGACTCTAAGCGGAGCCTCAGCACCAAGTACGAGACCACTATCTTCTAGCACCCACCCTCTCCTCCACTAGTCTCTGTGCCTTGCCGCCCGGCCTGTCTGCTCTCGACTCCTTCCAGCCGCTGGCGCCAGGCCCCCCGGGACCGCGCTGCTCAGCAGTAGCTGCAGACACTGTGCTCCCAGCTTGTGCCACCACCGGACACTGTGAGCCCCCTGGGCACGGACGGCTCGGGGGATGACTTGCCTTGAGGGGTGCCAAGCGGGCTCAGGGCCCTGTGGCAGGCACTGTGCACCTGCGGGCGGGGGTGCTGCCGTCGGTGCTCACTGACCGGCGGGCCCTGGCGGCGTCCTCCGCTGCCTTCTGTGCCGAGCGCTGGGGCCGCTGTTCACAGCTCCGTGTGCACCCTCCTTCACACACCAACCACTGTGACCCCCGGAGCCAGAGCCCCCACTCTGCTCCCGCTGCCCGCCTCTCCCCTCGAGGTGCTGGCCGCCCGAGACCCTGAGCTCGGCGACGAGCTGGACCAGGGCCAGGCTGCTTTCTGTGAGGGCCAGGGCCGCCCCGGCCCTGGGGCACCTGCACCACGGGCCTGCCTCGCCCCCGCCGGTCTCGGGCCTGGTGGGTCTCCCTCCGAGGAAGGGCTGGTACGTGTGGCCAGCCCTCCTGTCTTCGCCAGTGAGTCACAGGCTGGCCTGGAGTCTCGCTCACCGAGGAGGAAGGCCTCCCTGTAGGGCCCAGCACGAGGGAGGCCTGCGCCCTGCACATGGCGCCCCATCCTCTGACCTTGTCCGCAGTGCCGGGGTCAGCGGTAGTCACCATCACCTGGCCCTCCCTGAACAGGGCTGTGCAGTCCGCCACACAGCAGGCCCGCAGCTGCCTCGAGGCTCTCTCCGCTGGGCGGCAGGAGCCGGGCAGCTCCGTAGGGAGCGCGGACACCGCATTCCCGCAGAGCGCCCAGTGGTGCTGCTGCTGTAGGACTGAGCTCCCCGCTGGTAAACCGAGGGGTCCTCTGTCTGTCCCGTGCCTGCCAGGCAGACGCGCTGAGCGGAGGTGACAGTGGGTGCTCGGGGGAGGCCGTGAGGGACCTTCTGTTCCGCTTCCTGTCTTCTTTCTGCTTCCTGGTCCCTTTCCGTGTCCCCCACCTGTGCAGGCCCTGGTTAACCCTCTCCTCCCCCGTTGTGTTTGCTTCTGCCAAGCTGAGCCACTGAGGAACCAGCTGTGCTGCGGACACAGGTGTGGGAGCTCGGGCTTCCGCCACCGCCACCTGCACCGCCACCACCACGTCACCTGCAGCTTCGAAGCCCCAGGCCCGGCCTCCTCCCGGCTGCCTGCCGCCTGCCGCCTCGTCCTGCAGAGCGCGCCTGCCCTGGCTCGGAGCCCTGCGGGCCTCTCTCCCGGGAGACTGGAGCCCAGAGGGTCAAGATATGACTTGTCCAGAACACGTGTTTTAATAGAAAAAAATTTTATAAAATGAACTTTTAACACTTGCCTCAAACCTCTAGGTTAAACTGCCAGCCTTTAGACGGGTGCCTGTAGGGTCAGGGGACGGAACCGCGGCGGGTAAAGGGCCTCTGTCCTCAGGACGGGGTTTGGGAGGCCCAGTGGGTCGGATGGAGGCAGTGCCCGTGAGTAGGAAAGGGGGACCCGAGGGCAGCCCTGACTGCGTGTTGTTAGTCTGCGTTTCACACCCGGCCAAGTTGGACCTGGTCCCTGTGAGCGCACTTCTCGTCCCCACCTGGCCCGGGCCCCGCCTCAGAGGCGCCCGGCAGGGGCAGAGGCTTCTGGTCGCTGTCGGGTCTGGGGTTCCTGGAGGGAAGGTCCAGGTCCTGCTGGAGACGAGCGAGCAGTTCCTGTGCCATGAAGTCCGAGCCGCGGTCGGAGCCCTGCCCCGGCTGCCTGGCCCAGGAGCTTTCTGGGGACTCGGGCGCCTGGTTGCGTTGGAAAGAACAGGCAGCTGAGTTTGGGCATTAGTGGGTCGGCAGCTGAGATTGCTGCCTGCCGATTCGTGATCTGTCTAATCAGGCCTCTGATTAGGCCTCACGCGGGTTCTCCCAGTTCCTGGCTGACTGTGCTCAGCTGCTGGCCCTCCCCTGGCTCCACACGGAGGAAGGAAGGTGGCAGCTTGCTTCCCTGTGTGGCCTTCAGGGCAGGTGGCGTCGCTGCCCTCAGCCCTCCGGGGCTTGCTTTGCTTTTTACCTGTGGTGTCTGTCTCCATCTCTCCAACACCCACCCACCCCCCTCCCCCACCCCCAGTGGAGCAGAAACGAGGCGGGTTCCTGGGAGGTGGAGCTGGCCGGCATGGTAGCCATGGCCCAGCGGGTCTTTCCCAGGGAGGGTAGAGGCGGAGCTCTGCCTGCGGGTGCAGGAGAGCCCTGGGCACCTGGTCGGCCAGACATGGGAAGCAGGGCCGGAGGCTGGGCCATCCTGCCCACGTTCCCTGGCAGTCGCCTCCCTCCGGGATAGAGGGGGCTCCCCCACTTTTCGGTACTGAACGGGAGCCTGGGAGTTTGACTCAACTTCCTGTTGCTTCCAGGGCCTGCGAGGACTCCCCTCAGCTCCCCGTGAGGGTGACCTGCTTTCTGCCAGGAGTTGGCGAGGGCGGAGGCGGGTGGGGAGCAGCCTCTGCTGGGCCGCGGGCAGGGGGTACCATGAGGCTAAAAGGGAACAGACACTACGATGAGCCCTCGGCCCGCGTTGAGTCACATGTAGATGTTCCTCCTGGAAGCTGCTACGTGTTCTTTATTTATTCAGGGTATTTTCCTATTGGAAAGCCTAGGCGGGTCTGCTTGGCTCTGGCTTTGTGCTGAGATGCGTTTATTTCTGGATATCAGAAAGGAAGGACGGGGCCTGCTCTTCCCCTCCCCTGGGCAGGCCTCTCCCTGCTGGGAAGGAACTGCCAGGATTGACAGGCTTCCAGCGGACGCCCTGCTCGGCACGTCTCGGTCAGGTCACGCGTGTAACAGCCGTCTCTGTGTCTCTGAACTGTGGGGCCCGTGTAGGTGGGACGTGGAGTGGGTGGCCCTGTCGCCGCCGCAGGCTCTGGCTGGCCCTCCTGCCTGCCAGCTGCTCTGGCAGGCCCTGCGCCCGCCCGCTCACTCCCTCGGGCATCCGTGCCAGGTCCCGGGGGCGGGCAGCCACAGTCGCCCAGACCTTGGAGGCTGGTCCGACCTCGTCTGTTCTGAGGCGGCCAGGCCGCAGAATGGCTGCCAGGAACGCATTGTTGCCAATGGTGTGGCGACGGAACGCGTTGTAATAAAGATGTTATTTAATCTGTCTCTGTATTTTGATACTTGAATGACTTCCCCTTTTACTTTACTGTACATATAATTGTTCATCTGTCCAGTTTTGCCCGAATTACACACATCTTCTGGTACCAAACAGCCAATCTGTGCAGCAACATAGACTGACCTCACTGCAGGCGTGTGAGTACCCTGGGCCCCAGCATTGGTTTTGTTATTTTCCTAACGTGCAACTTAGAACAGACGGAACTAATAAACCAGAAGCGACACGAAACCTGCCTTGCTGTTCGGAGTCTTTGGATTGGAATGTTTGCTGGTGTTTTTCTGGTGCCGCACAGGCCAGACACTGGGTGGGAGTGAGCCCTGCTGTTTGCCGGGCGAGTTTGGGAATCTGCTCTGCCCACGTTCCTCAGGGGAGGATTGTCAGCTCCCCTTCACCTGGTTGGGTTCAAGGCCCCGCACTTCCCCTCCCGCCCCCTCCAGAGCATCGTCTCAGCACCGGCGGGGCCACATCCGGTGCGGCCGCTGCGTCCTGGTCGGCTGGTCAGCCCGCACGCGTGGAGCATCTGCACAAGGCAGTGTGGGGGCCGCGCTGTGGAAGAAGTGTCTTCCTGAGGGGACTTAGTTTGGTTGTGGAGGTTGAGTTTTAGACACACAACTAGCTACCAGCCGGGAGCCGGCCGCAAGGCCCCCGGGGCTGTGGGGGCTTGGCCGGAGGGAAGGAGGAGAGGCGCCCAGGCTGGGTTTTGAAAGGGAAAGGTTTGCAAATGACCCTAATGGCCCCTTCATTGACTGGCCAGCCCCTTTACAGGCAACCATCTCATCGGCCCTCTCGCCTTTCTGGGTGTTATCACCCCTATTTACAGAGGGAAACTGAGGCTCAGAAAGGTTAAAGCTCCTGCCCATGGCGCCGGGGGAACCCTGGAAACCTGGTCCAGCGTCCTCAGAGCCTGTGACATACTCCGTTGTAAAGGGCTTTGCAACCATCGCTGAGCTGACCCAGCACCAGGTGTGTTTATGACGGGAACAAGGCCCGGAGCAGGGGCGCTGTCCCTAAGCAGCCAGCCAGCTCCTGGCAGACAGCACCAAATCCGGGTCCTTCCAACACAGCTTCCGAGGGGCCACCTTGAGAGTGGACAGGCCAGTGGCGGCCTCTGCTCCCTTGCTCCTGCGCCCTCCTGGGCAGCAGATGCCTCGGCCACTGGTGCCCCTTCTGCGGACACTGTCCCAGGACACGTTGCCACTGTCGGTCCCTTTGGTGCCATCAGAGCCTTCTGTGTGCCTGGTGACCTGGCTGCAGTGCTAATTGGGCCGGGGACCTGGGGGTGGGACACCTGCCAGTTCACACTGGCACCTGGGCCCGCTGCTCTGAGCCTAGGCCAAATGGGAACCAGAATTGAACAGAAGGGAGAGGACGGAAGGGCCGAAGGGAGAAGGAAAGGGGTGGGGAGGCCTCAGGAGGAAGGGATGGGGCACATGCAACACAACAGCATCTGCCCCACCTCCACCCAGCAACCTCTCCCCGGCTCACGGTGTTCAGGGACCGGAGGCTGTCGGGAGGCCTGGGTGTTGCCTTCTGCTCTGTGTAGAGGAGCCTGAGGCAGACGGGCCCTCACAAGGCCTCGCCCGTGTGCTCCCCTCCCCATCGGGCCATTTGTCACTCCCCGCATCCTCCCAGCACCTGGACTGCTGGGCGTCACTCTTGGAGGCTGAGTCAGCCACGCAGCAGGGACCAGAACTCTGCCAACTGGAGCGCTTCCAGGGACAGCTCGAGACCCGTCAGCCTGGCCACCTCTACTGCACCTGAAGGTGTCTGGCGCCCACTGGCTCCCTGCAAACAAGGCCAGCAGCCCAGTGGGCCTGCAGTTCCACGGGCCCACCCGGCACCAGGCTCTGTGACCCACACCCACGGTGCCCCGAGCTCTGAGCCGCCCGTTGTGCAGGGAAGCCTCTGTGGGCTGTGGCTGCTCCTCCCAGGCCTCAGGTGCTGGGAACACTTACAAACAAGCATTGACCAAAGTAGACTCCCTACCCCCATAAAACTTATTATCCAGTAACCGGCGCTGGGACAACGGGGCACCCATGCGGGAGGGGGGGGGGGGGGGTCCTGTCCTTACTTTCACCAAATAAACTCCAGATGGCGTGCTTATTTAAATGGTAAAAGAGAGAGAGAAACCCAAACAAGTTATAAGAAAATGGGAGATGTTCTTGGTATGAGAAAGTTGCTTCTAAGCATGTTACAAAATTCTGCTTTTTTTAAAGATCAATATATTCAACTATATAAAAACCAAACATTTCTGCATAGCAAAATGTGCCGTAAAGAACAACTGAAACTGTTGGCGCGGCCTGTCACAGCAGGACAACAGCATCAACGTCAACTGAACTCCTTCCAGGAGGACGAAGTAGACAAACGCTTCCCTATGCTTCTCCCTGAGGACAGTGGAAACCCCGGCAGAAACGCCAAAGGCCCAGACAGAAGCCGGTGCTCTGCAGCCAAACAACTGGAAGAGGCAAGAAGAGGACGCTGCCAGCCACCGCGCGGACGGGCGCCCATCGCCGGCCGGGCCAGGCTGCTCCTGACAAACAGGAGCCAGAATGACAACCTAGTGGATGGGCCCAGAGGCAGAATGGAAAAGAAAGACCAAACCCACAAAACGGAAGGCGGAACAATAAAAATTGAATATTAGAATCAATGAGTTCAACAAGCTCACAGGACACAACATAAACGTACAAAAATCAATTGTATTTCTGTATATTAGAAATGAATATGTGGACACAATTAAAAATAAACCTGTTTGTAATCACTCAAAAAAATAAAATCCTTAGGAATAAATCTAACAATACATGTTCAGAACATGTATGATAGAAGCTACACGATGCTAATAAGAGAACTCAAAGAAGAACTAAGTAACTGAAGAAAGAGACCATGTTCAAGGACTGGGATGTTCAGAATAGTAAAGATGCCAATTCTTCTCAAATTGATACACAGGTTTAAGATGAAACCTATCCGACCCCAGCAAGGTTTTTTGTAGTTAGACAAGATTAGTCTACAGAAGGCAAAGGAACTAGAGTAGCTAAACAACTTTGAAAAAGAATAAAGTGCCAGGGCTGGGTCTGTCTAATTCCAAGACTTATTACACAACGACAGCAATCAATACTGTGTGGTATGGCAGAGAGACAGACAGACAGACTAATTGAACAGAAGAGACAACCCAGAAAGAGACCCACACAAGCATCCGATTGATTTTTAATAAAAATAAAGGAACAAAAGCAATTAAATGGAGGAAAGAGAGACTTTTCAGCACATTATGGTGGAGTGGTTAGATATCCATAGGCTTCTGAAAAAGTACCTCAACTGAAGTCTCACACTTTATATAAAAATCAATTTGAAATGGGTCACGGACTTACACGTAAAACATAAAACTATAACACTTTTAGCAAAAGACATAGGAGAAATGGCTTCTCTGTGTACAACACATCCAACAGCAACTTGGGCTTACTCCTCACGGGTGGCAGAATACTATGGCCTTCCTGTGACATTACACCCTATACATGAAAAAAAAAAGACATAGGAGAAAATCTTTGAGATCTGGGTCTAGGCAGAGTTCTCAGACTTGACCCCCAATGCACAATCCATAAAAATAAAACCTGAAATACTGGACTTCCTCAAAATTAAAATTTTGTGCATCAAAAGACACTATCAAGAAAGTGAACTGACTATAGAATGGGAGAAAATGTTTGCAAATTACATATCTGACAATATATAAAGAACTCTTAAAACTCAACAACTCTAAGAGAACAAGGCTTCCAAAATGTAGGCGGGGGAGGGGAGGTATGTTGATTTCAGAGAGGAAGGGAGAGGGAGAGAGAGAGAGAGAAAGAAACATCAGTGATTGAGAAAGTTAAAAAGGCTAATTCCAATGTAACCCTGATATTTGGAGGGCTAGCAATCTGAATCTGTGCCAGCAAGCCCAATGTACATGCTTGATAACCTGTAATTAAGTCATTGCCTCTTTCCCAGAAACTGGTCTTGCAGAACCTGTTATCTAAATGCTCACATTTCACAGGCCATAAACTGTGAACAGTGCACAGCCCCGGGGTGGGGGGTGGGGGGAGTTTATTAGTGCTGGTGCCAGGCCAGACCATTAGATATGGCCTGGAGACCCCCAACACCTGGGGCCTTTTGGCAAAGCCCGCAAAAAGGACCGGAAGCATAGTCCATATTTGAGGAACAAAGACACCAGAAAGATATAAAAGAGAAGCTCCCTGCATGTTACTTTGCTCAGACTTGGGAAGTTATTTCACTGAGTCCGCCGGCATAATAAACAGTGTAACTCCTTTTCTCTAAAGCATTGCTTGGTTTTTCTCTGGTCTTCTGCAACATCTGGTTCCCTGACCAAGAAGCCCAACTGCACTGGTATTTTTGGCCTCCAGTGAGTGGACCGGGTTTGGGGCCTGGAGGCACGGGATAGGCCTCTGGGAGGTGCACCCTGATGATTTTAGCAGAATTGAACCAGGGGACTCCAGGTGCTCCCAGACCTCAGCCTAGGACCCGGCTGGCACCTGGAGAAAGTGGACAGACACCTCTGGATCTGTCGACAGAAACGGTAAGATAGGGGCCCCACTCTGAGAGAGTGGAAGGGGAGCTTGCTCACCTCCCAGGAAGTCATACAACTTCGTCAGATAAATTAGTCAGGAATCGGGTGGACTGTTTAACCTCTGAGTGAATATCTGGTGAAATGTGTGAGTGTGGAAGGAGAGGGCCTACCCTCTCCTATCCTTGTGTGGTTCCACGGCCTCGGTTATGGAGTCCGAGTGGGCCCCAACCTGCGGTTTCGAAATTTGTCATAAAGCATAACGGTGACTCACCCCCACATGGGGTGACCAAGCCCGGGGTTTATACAGGTGCACCTTAGCTAAGACAAATCTAAGCTCCCAAGGGATACAGCCAGGTGGGCATCTGAGTGGATCTGTGAAAACTGGTCACCCCCTTCCCTTGTCTGTCTCTCGCCACCAATCGTCATGGGGTCAGGACAAAGTAAACCCACTGTCCTCAACTGCATGTTGAAAAATGTTAAAAAGGATTTCAATGGGGACTATGGTATTAAAATGAATCCCAAAACACTGGGGAAATTCTGTGAATTAGAATGACCAGCCTTTGGGTTCAGCTGTCCCTCGGAAGGCTCTTTAGATGAAGGACTGGTCAGGGTGGTCTGGAATGTAGTCACGGAGGACCTCGGACACCCAGATCAGTTTCCCTACATAGACAGCTAG